CTCTCCCACCCACCCCCTCCCTCTCTTTCTCTCTCTCTCTCTCTCTCTTTGTTGAGCTGTCGCCGCCTGGCTTCGTCGTCGTCCTTAAGACAATGATGGGCACACGCCATTCCAATGCCCCCCAAGGACATGCAATAAAATTGCGTTTTAATGCTACGCCAACTGTCGAAGGATCTGTTGTGTTCAGCTTGTTCTACTTCGTCTTCTTCTTGTCTTTTTTTTGTATAGTAGAGAGCTTTAAAAGTTGCTCATGAAATGTATGTAGATATAGTAGGTGCAAGCATAGTCTTATCCATCTTCGGTGGCCTTGCGCAACTATTCGCATTGCTGTAACTCAGTCAAGTTTAATGTTTCCATTAGATTTAGGGACATCAGCGGAATGAAACTATTCAATCACAGATGTAACATAAAGGCAGAATTCATTGCTCAACAAGATAATTTCCAAAGAAATCCCAAAAAAAATTTTTTTAACTAGTTTAACTAGATCTTGGTACTCAATTACCTCAACTGAATCATATTACTATATCACACAGTTCTAGCAGACTTCATTGCTTATCCATATATGTAGATAGTTCCTATTATATTTTCACAGTTTAACTAAATTTAGTTATAGTGTAGTAAATATATGAATAATTTTTTTAATAATATATGAAGTAGTTTTAGAAAATGACGAGAAATGAATAAGCTTTTCTATTTAGCAAATCTTAGGATTCCTTCTAATTTTTTCAATATTATTCTTTATATTTATAAGAATTAAGAATTCCACATGTCTTTATAAGCTTCGGTAATTAAACTCTTTTCTTTTATTTAGAATCCTTGCAGAAATGATCAAATATCTACAATTCATTAATTGCATTCCTTCAACTATATTTAAATATCTCATACTTCATATATACCCCATATATATTCTATAAACCTTAGCTAAAGCAGCCTAGACTTAAATTTTATGCACCAAAATTTGTATAATTCTTTTCTCTTTGTGCTTTGCTTTTGTTGCTTGGTTCGACTGCTCGTTTGTCCTTCGCATTGTTTAATAACATTTTATTTGCATATTTTTATGGCAAATATGAATTTTATGTGTTGGCTCGATTTCAGAACACGCCAGCCAAATGGACAAATCCAACAGCGCCGTGGCTCAAATCCGAGCCCCAAAGGAAAAGCGTGGCAAAGAAAGTTTTCTGCTTCTTCCACTCATATATATATATGAAATAAATTCGAGCCAAACGAAATCTCGTGAAGTGAAGCAAGCGCAAATAATTTTTGCCAGCAACAACAACAACAACTGAGAGCATTGTGTGAACAGCGAGTAGGAAATGGAAAAGCTCTGGCCAAACAAACATAAAAGTGCAAAGCAATTCTCAAGTGTTTCATGCCATAAGCCTTAAGACGTTTGCCTTTGTGCGCTTTACTTTTGCATTGGCATTGAACAAAACGAGCGAGAGAGAGAAGGAGAGAGAGAGAGAGAGAGAGAGAGAGAGGACAGGCGAGTGTGATCTTTAGTACCAGAAATGCTCCCACGCTTCAGCTCTCCATTGTGAGTTAATATTTTGGACAATTGATTCAATTAAATATGTGAAGCGACATGCAATGCGGATAGTTCAGTTGAGTGCATTGGGGGCGACAAGAGGCGCATGTTATATATACCATAAAGCATCTATATCTAGCTGACACACACACACACACACACCGAGTCAAAGAGACAGCCAGAGTCCGGTGCAAATCTCCGCTTAATTTGTGCACAAATGATTTGTCTGCGTCCGCACGCATTTCCATGCACTGTGTCTGTCTGTGTGTCTGTCTGTCTGTCTGTCTGTGTGTTGGGGGCGCGCGAGGGGGCGGCATAACTGTGGCATGTTGCAACAAATGAACACAACTGCATTGTGCGCCCGGGGGAATTTCTGTGGTCACGAACTTCTCTGACTGACATGATGAGCCGCTGCCAAGCGGAAGTCGACCGCGACTGCAATTCCAATTCCAATTCCAATCTCAATTCCAATCCCAATTCCAGCCTGAATTGCCGCTCAACTCGTCGCTGCATTCGAGCAGACTCAACTCGAGCCACTTTTATTTACTTTAAATTCAATTAAAGTGTAAAAAATTTAATAGCCTATTATATCGCATGCCCTAAAGATATTTATCTTATTTAGATGCGGGGAAATTATATAAAAATAAATTTAAAAAATTTTTAAAGTTACGTTAAGATATATTCATAAATAAATTACGATAGAAATTTTAAATCCTCGCAGAGATAAATTATACAAATATTTTATTTAGAACAAACTCGAAAATTTGCGAAATAATTTTCGCAAATTTATTTATTTTCATATTGTTCAAAATTTACTTTATTTTCTCATATACACATTTTAATTAAACAAAAATTCCTTTTTATTTACATATATTTCTCTCCATTTTCTGAATGTAAATAAATTCATTTAGCTCTCTAAAAAATTGTATTTATGATACATAAATCAAAGTTTATGAAATTGTTGCTGCCTCGCGTTGAGTGCGTCTCTTTGTTTATATAAACAAATCGAATTATTTTTAAATGCTGTTGAAAATGCTACAAAAATGAAATAAGCGCAGCAAACGAAGCAAGCAAAAGCTAAAATTCATTTAGGAAAATCCAACATGTTTTTATTATCATTTTATTATTTATTTTTTTTTTTTTTTAGATATACGCTACGCATTGAATGCGGGGATGTATCGTGTTTAGTTTGACTTTATATAGCAGGCAGGATGAGAGGTAAACGAAATTATATATATGAGGTGAGTTAGGCTTTAAGCTGAACTATGTTATCGATAATTATCGATGTCATTTGTCAGACCAGCTGTCTATGCACCTATTTCTTAGCATAGAAGAGGTTTGCATCACTTAAAACTTGTTTGTTTCCATGAAATCGATAAATATCGATAAACTTTTCAGTTATAGAGCACTACATTGGGAACTATCGTGCAAGGGCTGTAACTACACAGATTCTCAAAATGTCTACCCAATACAGCACAGCAATATTTGTCCATAACTCTCTCTAAGAACATAGATTAAGAAAGAGTATCTCCCAGTCGATCACTTCCACTCACTTATCATATTTGGCTTCTGTTGCAGCAGCCACACACATAAATCCATATAAATCTCAATCTAAAATGCAGTCTCCGCACAGAATGAATGACCACATCGACGGAATTGCGTTTGGCCAGATGTGTGCATCTGTGGCCATTCAATGGCCATTCCATGCCATATAAATAAACCCCCTGATTGCAGTTGGAGCACCGCAGAACAGAATATAATAGAATAGAACAGAATAGAACTGTACGAAATAGAGCCGAGTGGAAACAAACCAAATTCCACACGCAATCGCATGAGGCTGCGATTACCATCATCATCAGCGGGATGATCATGATGCTATGACATTTAATGGTATGATGTGATGGGATAGTTGTACTTAGTTATAGTCATGATTGTTGTTGCTTTAAGTGTGATAAATCGACAGTTGAATTAAACGAAATTTGTGTGTGCGTGTTTTTTTTTTCTGCCCCAATGACCAAATAAAAACCAACGAAAATTTAAACAACGGGAATATACGATACACTTTCAAAATGTGAGCTTTATTTTAATTAAGTTTACCAATAAGAAACATATGCGTAGCAAAAATAATACCTGAACTGATACCTTACGATATTTAGCTATATAATCATCTATATCTTTCTTAATACTTTTCTTTCTCTATGTATATCTCTTTCTCTTTCTTTTGATAACTTCTTTTCCGTCTTTTCTTTTTATATGTATATCTCTCTCTTCTCCCAGTAATTCTCTGTATGTGTCTATATCAATATCCACTCTCTTTGTCTTTCTGCCTCTCATTTTTGTTCTTGTTTTTTCTCTCCTGACGATCTATCTCTCTCTCTCTCTGTCTCGTTCTTTCTTTCTCCCCCTATCTTCCTTCTTCTTACTCTCCCTATCTCCCTATCTCTCTCTCTCTCTCTCTCTCTCTCTTTATAATCTTTATAAACTTTACCCATATCAAAATTTCACATAATATACCCAATACTCTAATGCTAGGGTATATAAACTACAAAAAATGTAAACAAATTTAACTAAAAAAGTAAAATAAAATAAAATAAAATGATTTCCCGCTGATAAAAAGGTAAGCAGCACAAGAAGAAGCAGAGCAGCAGCCACCTAATGTGTACTTTAGCCTGAATACAAAAAATGTCTTTTCATCAGAATTTCAAATGCTGCGCGCTGTCAAAGTATGCGAGAGTGTGTGTGTGTGTGTGTGTATGTCACTGTATTAGTGTGTCTGAGTACAGGTGTGTGCGCGAGAGTCGCCCGAGCGGAAGTTATGGAGCCTACGTGCCAAAAAAAAACACACACACACTCACTCATACATATATACACAGATGCAGCTATATACATATATACATAACTGTGCTTGTGTATGTCTATACGAAATTTCACTTTCGCCGCTGTGGATGATATTTTTTTTGTCGCTTTTCCTGTTTTTCTCGACAGGTAGCACAAGCGGGCAGACATTGAGGCAGCCATCGCGGCAGCCACTCGATAAACCACCAATACATGCAGACTCCACAATATGTGTGCGTCTGTGTGTGCGTGTGTGTGTGTGTTTGTGTGCCTTACATATACATCAATGTGTATATAAACAGCCAAATTATGAATTTGTAGGACACTTTCACCTGACTCCCATTTCTCTCCTGTGTATGCGTGTGTGTGTGTGTGTGTGTGTGTGTGTGTGTAAGCATCTGTGTGTGCGTGTGTTTGCTGCAAATTGCTAAAGACTTTACGGATCAAGGAACCCATCAAAAATCGTTAAATGCAAAAAATCGGCAACACAATAAGCCGCTCTCTTTCCCTCTCTCCCTTTTTTTTTCTCTCTCTCTCTCGCTCTCTTATGGCATCTCCAGCGATGCCCCCACTTGTTAGGCAGCGGCAACAGAGCAGCTTTAAGTCGATAACATCCGTCCCATACAAAGGATTTACTTACCTTGAGCTTTTGTGCGTTGCGTACTAACTTAGATCTCAAGGTTTTCTCTCTCACTCTTACTCTGTGTGTCTCTTTTACTCACTCACTGCCGAACTACATGTCACTATTTAAGTATTTCATTTATTTATTAATTTTGATTATATTTATTTATTTGTATTTTATGCGTTTTTCTGCTGTAAAAATTTGTTGTTTTTTTTATTTTTGTTTAATTAATACACCGTTATTCGATTAAAATTTAGTGACACCGCAACTTTGTAATCCACACAAACGAGAAGTCTGTGTGTGTGTCAGTGTATGTGTGTGTTTTGATATACACTGCAATTTACTTGTGTATTGTTTTTATTCCCTTTTTATTGTATTCTTGTTTTTTTTTTTTTTTTTTTTTTTTTTTTTTT